AATCTGTTAGAACAGATATTTATAAAATATGTTTTATAGTTCTATCTTCTCATGCGAGAGAGCGCTTGGCAGATATTCAGTCACATTCCAGTTTCCAGTTTTACAAACACCCACGATTTTCTTCAGTTGCCTGCACGTTGAGAGGAGCTTCACTCAGCATGGAAAAACCTGTTTGAACCGAGTGCCTCCAGAGTAAGTGAGAGGTGTGTATTCTGCCTGAACCTGCTCAGGCAGTTGTCCAGACTCGCAAATTAAATGAAGCCTAAAACTGGCAGCTCCTCTGGAGAGATGCTGTAAGGTGAGTTCTTCCTACCCCCATTGTTTTTTTTTCTGTAATATGAGTAATAGTTAAACAACTGCCAACATTATTGTAGTCATGCTGATACATTTGTACTCTTAGACACAGTGTGTGAAAATGACTGCACACTACTGTCTTATATGTGTGTGGTGTATAAACGTTCATAATCTAAAAATGTTGCAACCATGTTATTGACCAACAGAAGGAGCTGTTGCTGGATGGAAAGGTGTGAGTGTAAGCTTATAAGATTTACAGTGATACACACATGGTTACTAGTTAAACCCTCTTTCCAGTAAATAAGCGATAATACGAGGGAGAGCAATATTCATAGTTTCTATGGGAATTTAGTGTAATATGAGCATTTACAGCGTATATTTGTATAATTGCATGACAAATGTATTATTATTTGTATAGTTAGACTAAAATGTGAAAGTAAAACTACAACAAAGACTGTTACAGATTACACTCACTAATTGGCTATATACTCGAGGTAATTACACAATAAATGCCAAGAAAATACTATATAATATAATATTAATATAATATCAAATATTCCATTACTAGTAAAGGTCCAGCTTTCATTTTTGTGTCTCTCTGTCAATAACATTAAAGCAGTAGTAATGCTCCTTCTGATTCTCATTCTCATTAATGGGAAATACCGCACTTGTATTGAAACTGTCTTTTATTTTGTAAGTAAACTCTAGAAGCTATCTACACCCTTTACATCTGGACTTAACCCTTTAATTTACCTCAAGGTTGAACATTTTTCTAATGAAATGGTTTTACTTATTTATTTTACAGGATAATTCAGACTCAAAATTGACTTATTGCCTCATTTGGACTTTAAATTGGAGTTTTAAATGACTTTCTGTGGGTTATGCAGGTTTGACTGCATTAATGTCAACATCTGTTAGGGGAAAATTAAACCACAGAGTAAACCATTGAATGTGTGCTGTTTGTTCTGTGTGACATTGAGATGGCATCATTTTTCTATTGAGTGTGTAGGGGACCTTAACATTTTCTTTTTCTCTGTCTTACTGTAAAATTAAGACTAAAATTAAGTTCCAAGGCAACGTGAAGGTGACTCCATCGTTTAGTAGTGAACATATTCGCCTTACATGCAAAAGATTCCTGCTTTTAGAATGAGAGAAGACATAAACCCAGCCTCAGGGGGTCACGAGCCCAGGTAATCATTTATGTACCAGAAGTGGCATCCAATGTGAAATCTGTGCCAAATCAGATATGCATACCCATCGCTTGTGGTTGCCCATTGGGGATGAGCCAGCAGGTGAAAATACCTCCAACATATAAGTCCCATTGATTCAGTAGTGATTAGTAGTGATGTAATTTGTTGTGATCTTCTCTGTTCTGTTTATATTTATATACTATACCATATTATCTTATCTTTTTATCACTAATATTTTGGATAGGATAATATTTCCACATGTAACTAACTGCACAATTTTCCATTTTAAACCCTATATATTATTTTTTAGAAAATTTTAAAAATTGCATTGAGGTTTTGAAACATTAAATATTCCATGTTTCTTTAAAGTTATCTACAGTAATAAAACATAATATTAATAATGTTTTAGAAAGATTCATTTAAATACTGTTCCAGTGTTTTTATATAAACCCACGGAGTCTTTTATGTAAATGGCCTTTATATATTTCCTACCTTTGACATATTTCTGCGAGTGTATGTACTGCCAGACTGGTTTTTCGGACAAGAGGTTCCAATCAGCGTTCAGGGATTTTGTGGGCGGGGCCTGCGGTGAAGTCACTACCCCCCCTCCAAAAGCTTGTTGATTGACGCGCACCAATGGCTCCTCCTTGAAAGTCTTTTTTTTCCCTCCCCCTTCGTTTTCCAGTGTAGTGAGTTGATTTCATACCAAAGTCATACTTAACATTCCACTTATACTGTCAAACCTCTGAGAAATATTAAGGAAAACAACAGCGCGCCAAAATATAACAAAGTTACTGAATTGACCAGTTTCCCCCACTGAGGAGAATAAGCTGACTGCAAGAATAAAAAGGTAAGTCTTCCACAAATGTTCCCTCTTTCTGTCCACAGCCTTTTTTCTGGGGAGTTTTTTCATGCCGCTTGTCTCGGTGAAGTTTTCAGATCATTGTCATTTTTTACATTTTTCCGCGGAGCTCCCTGCGTTGGGAGGGAAGAAAACATTTGCAGTTTGATACTCTATTGTGTTTGACTTTCCCAGTGTGCATGGATATCTTTGACAGCCTATGTGCAATCATATTTCCACCGGTAGCCCGCTCATTGGCACATACTTTTACCTAAAAGAGAAAAAAAAAGAAAAAGGTTTTCTCGTTTGACAGAAGGAAATGGGAAAAACATGTTTGTTTTCTGTCTCGGACAGTTCATACCTGGATCCAACTCTTCCAGCGTTGCTCCTCAAGAAGAATCCAACAGTTTTACAGACAAGCACGGAGAGAGACGATTTGGACGAAAACGTTTTAGAGGAATACACAACATCAGCGTGATTTGGACCTCTGCATCACTAAGGTAAGACAGCTTCTTGATTAGGAAGCGAGGTTAAATAAATTCTGGAGGTCTTGTTGATGCTTCCTACATGGAATTACAAATACAGAGTAGTTTTCTTGATAACGCCTAAACAAACCAAGATTATCTCATATAAAAGTGTGTGTGTGTGTGTGTGTGTCAGCTCAGCTACGTCTGCTTTCGCTTTAGCTCTTGCCGGGCAGACTGTGAACAACATTGCAGTATGTTAATACATTTTTAAGACTAAATTTAAATCAAGCATTTTCTTCATCAAAACACTCACAAATTAATATGAACGATTTTTAAATGGTTTGCATTGAATCAAAGTTTTAGATTAGAAAACCAAAGCTTTTTTTCACTCACATCTGGAATTACACCTTAAAGAAAAATCTAAATTCATTTATGTACATGCACATTGAGGTGTACAAGAGTATGCAGTGTAAACCACAGAATAAAAGTTGTTATAGAAAGTATCTGTCTATCTATTTAACTATCTATCTATCTATGTAGTTCTTTGTTCTTGACTTTGTCAAACGTGGCATGTGATGATACACTGCAAAGTCCTTCTAAGTACATAATTCATAGGTGAGGATTTGAGATGCATGGATACGTAGCGAGCTAATTGTATAATTATATGAGTGCCACCTCAGGCTACACCTGCTATACAACTGTTAGTAGAGACCTAGGCGAAAATAATATGTGTCCGTTTTGACAGAGCCAAACGTTGGCACCTCCTTTATCCTAAGTTTGCGCGGTCATATGAACTGCACAGTTAAATCACTGACAGTCAACACGTTTGACTCAACGGCAGAATGCGGTCTGTCAGGTTGGTCGCTGTTAGCAGAATAACCTGTTAACGTCTGTTACTGTTTTCCCCAGCAACATTTCCTAAAATTCAAGGCAGAAGGAAAGCCTTTCTCTTTTTTTTCTTCTTTCACATCATTGTCTTTCATAAACACAGTTGTAAATTAAAGTATGACATTGATTTGGTGTAGCCCTTTAAGCCCAATCTAAAGCCTTTTAAAGCAGAAGGATAATCGGCTATCAAATAGGGTGGCTCTTTTCTTGCTGCCACGTTAGGTCATGGTTGAGAAGCCAGATCTCCAGTTTGGGGCCTGCTTAAGACCTACATGTGGAAATGTTCTGAAATGAAACACCAACATGAACAACCAAACAATGTGCCCTTGGTAAATGAGACACGCCAAGATGCCTAATAATAGATTTTGATGCTGATGGGTAAATCTGGAGAGGATTAAGCATTCTGCTGTTCCGTCAGATTCTCTTTCATTGTTTTCATGCAGCCTGAATACATCAGGCCTCCCACTGTACAATGTGGTCTTTTTTTTTTCCTTGAACATACTTTATATTTCTTAGCCATTGCGGATTCAGTATTTACACTTTGTACTTGTGTAGGAGTTAAATTAGGGGAAAGTTTTATAGCTTCACCATGTCACGGAGGTCAATTAGATTACTTGTGGTAGTATCCCCTAAATGTGGCTGTTTTCTCTCCTTTTTTCATCCCCAGCTGTGTTCCTTCGGGCTGTTTATTAGAGGAAAGAGTTAATGAGCATGTGC